CCGAGGAAATTGCCGGATACAGAAGAAGAAATTCTAAATCAACTTTTTCTTTTGGAAAAATTGCTTCAAATGCATTATTTGAAGTAATGAAACCCCAATGCATACACCCAAAGACATGAGACTGAACCAAGCAACCCGAGAATTTGTTGTCTCGCTCACTGTCCGCATCTCTGCTTCTCTGCAAAATCATAAGATAAGTTTTATGATAGAGCGTTAATAAGATAATATTTTAAGAAGGAAAATTGGTAATGGAATTGCATGAGTGAACAATAAATTACCTGCTCTTTAAATATAGTAAATTTTCATGGATGGCCTCTACAGCGCCTTCAAGTTTTCTCAATTCGAGTTCTATACCCTGTTTGGATGTCAAAATATGAAGTGATGAACACACAAAACAATTATTGGGTAGCTCACATTGCTTTGCCTATACAGAATCCTACTGGATCCCATTTAACATGGAAAGAAGTTGGTACAGTGGAGGTTTGTGGAATTTTCTCCCACTAGATGGTTTAGTAAAAGCTCATATAGGGTCAGCTTGAGCCCATTGTCTACCCTCTACCTCTATAGTTGTCCAGCATGACTTGATTTGAGGGGACGTGTTGTATCTAGAATCGGTTGTCTAGTGGGTTTTAATCTAGTCAAGTATGCAAGAGTGAGCTGAACCTCAAATCTTTTTCCAATTTGAGACAATTTGAAAAAAAAAAACAATGTCCTTCCAAAAATTCATGTACATGTTGACATTTCAAGTGTTATGGAGCATAGTGCTTTTTTCAACTCACTCAAAAATGGAGAATTTAGAAAAGATATTAAGTAGGCAACATTTTGACTTCAACAGGTAATATACTAATATCAAGTAGTTCGGATCTTTACTCTGAGAAAGCGGGATCCCTCCCTACCCTCTGATTGGTTAGTGGATCTTTTTTGCAGAGGGGGGTGTTTAGCACTTCAGCTAACTATTTTATCTCTATTTGATAGTGTTTGATAAGAAAATAGCCAAATATGTAGCTGATCATGTAATTCTATATCATCATGAGAATAAAGTAATAAACCAACCCTCTGGTCCTCCCATTCAATCCCATTCAATCCCATTAAATCAATGCATGAAGTTAGGATGGCACCTCTATCTTCTCCTTTCTTGCAACTGATTCCCAGTCCTTTGCAGCAATTCCAGTTTTCCAATCAAGGTTAACACTTAAACCCCCACCACTAGGACTACGGCCATCAACCCAGAAACAAGCCAGATAGTTACCCGCTTCTGTGGTCGTGAAAGCAAACTGACCATGTGTCACATTCTCATGATGATGAAGGTTGTTTCCATATGGTGACGTTACCTACATCAAAAGAGAAGATGAAACTATAAAAATTAAAAATAAAAATATAAAGAGGTCCACTTTTACGACATTATCAACCAAGCAAATGGACACAACCTATTACTTCATCCACTCTCATTAAAAGTGTGCATCATAGCCTTTTTGCCCAAAAGAGAGACAAGTTTAATCAAAAGAAGCTAATTTTTCACGAATTTTGTCAAAACATTGGAAGCAACAAGTCAACAAGTCATAGACGAGCTACATGTGACAAATGTAGTTAAACCAAATAGAAGTACGGGTGGTGGTTGATGACAATTGCATCTTACTGAAATTATACAAAAAATGGTAAAACATGATGGGCAAAGGTAGTATTATTTCTCAAATGTCATAAAAGAATGATAGGGAAGCGGCTGTACATGAAAAGAATGATAAATACGTTGGCCGAGTTTATTCTAGAAAGGGGAGGAAGAATAGTTAGTTGGTAGTTATATCTGTTACTAGCTAGTAACTAACTGTCGGTTAGAGGTGGGAGGTTATAAATAAACTAGTCTGGGAAGAGAAAGGCAGGCTGTTTGATAGTTAGACTGGACTGGGAGAATAGAGATACACTGTGCTCTTTCTTTGGGGCTTCGTTGTACTGGCTTTCACCATTAATGAAGTTTGATATTGTTTTTTGAATTCTATTTCTTCTTTTCTGTAAATTTTACCTACCTGCGAGTACTCTATCAAAGAATCCATCTAAGCAATGGTTTTTCTAAGCTATAAATGTATAATGCCTCATTCAGTCTCTTCCGAGTTTAAGCAGAACAACTCATTATTTGTTCTCTATTCAACAGAATACGAATCTGGTAAAAGTGAAATTCTAGCTTTTATACTACTTCAAACCACACAACTCTTGTGTCACTTCTCCTTACACCAAATCTTTTATTGTACCCCTTTTATGCCAGTATGCAAGCTGAAAATTAACAGGAAGCATATGAAAGCTTTCTAATGAGACAAATCCGAGCGGAACTTTGTTTTACAAAAATCACACCAAACTAAAATGGAAATTCTAAAAGTGATTTCATGTACAAACTATGGAATGAGAAAAGATGTATACACTGCACTATAAATAGAAATGTCCTGAAAGTGAACTAACCGACCTTGACGGAGATGGTGGGTGTAGGGTGGACATGATCGTCGGAAATGACGACGTAGTCGGCCAAAACGACGACGTTGTTGTGGATTTCCTCCGAAACACATTTGGTGCCGCTCGCCGGAAGATTCAGCCATATGGCCTCGCCTTTCTCTAAGAGAACAGACAACACCAGCAATGGCAGTGCCCACATCACCCATCGACTTCCACACACGCCCGGCTCTTCTACCACCATTTCCTTCTCGGAGTTTAGCTCTTATATTTTTACACTATAAATATGTACGTATCTGCAAGCGAATCGTCTCTCAATTCAGCTACAGATCGAAGGGGAGTCTCTTCTCTGCTGGGTTTGATTCGGCTGTGCTCACCAGCGATTGATTTATTGTTGCTTGGGGAAACAGAATTGTAGGAAATCGGAATCTCGTGAACGCGACTTGAGCAACCAGATGATGTTGCTTGTATTGTATTACTCATTATTTAAACTCTATCATATACTCCGTAATAAAGTGAATGTCATTTGAAAAAAAATAAAAGAGTGAAACATGTCTCTATTTTAATTAGAAATTACTTCAAATAGGACTAAAACTATGGCAAAAACTCAAAATAGGACTTGCTATGTTTTTTTTCCAAAATAGGACCATAGTGGTCCTATTGGAAACATACTCATTTCTTCCTTCCATTCTTACCCCTCCTTTAAATATTAGTAAAAGATAGCTAAAAGTCATAATTAAATGTTTAATTCATAATAAATTCGAAAAAATTTCAATAATTCGTAGAAAAATAATAAAAAAATTAATAAAATTTTTATAAAATAAAAAATAAGAAAAAAAAAATTTTTAATTTTTTTTTTTGAAAATTAATAAAAAAAATAGTAAAACTCCATAAAAAAAATTATAAAAAATATGGATACCTTTCCCACCGCCTGTAGTACCTCCCTGAACCACCACCTCCGATCGGTGTAAAAAATGCCACTTTTTTTTTAAATTCCACAAAAATGGCATATTTCTCTATGAGAATGCCAACATTTTCATTCTGCCAACTTGAATCCTTTTGACTTTTGCCAAAAATATGGCATTCATAATTTTTTTGGCATTTTTTTACCCCGGTGACAGGAGGTGGTGGTACCGCCTCCCTGCACCACCACCTCCGACCGTTAAAAAAAATGTCATATTTCCTACAAACTTCCATTTTTTTCGGAAAATGCCAAAAATATGGCATATTTCTCTTTGAGAATGCCAACATTTTTTTTCTTCCATCTTAAATCATTCTGAATTATGCCAAAAATATGGAATTCATAATAAATTTGGCATTTTTTCCCCAAATGACTAGAGGTGGTGGTGCTGGGGCGGTATAGGCGGCGGTGACAAAAAAAATATTTTTTTGATTTTTTTTTTAATTTTTTTTATTTTTTTTTTTATTTTTTATTTTTTTTAAATTTTTTATTTTAAATTTATTATTATTCAAAATATTTTTATTAATTTTTTGGTATATTTTACGAATTTTCATTATTTTTTATTATTTTATTATGAATTAAAACATTCCAATAGGTATAAGGGTATATTTGTCCAAGACAAACATAATTAGTCCTATTGAAACATAGTTTATTTTTTGGTCCTATTTGTGCAAAGTGAATGACTTTTAGTCCTATTTTGATAATTAACTCTATTTTAATTAATTAATGAATTGAAGAAGTAAGTTTTACTCCTTTTGTTCCAAATTCTTTTGCAAATTCAACATTCTTTTGTCAATTAATAATAAAAGTCAAACTTTTTTATTGATATTTAACTCAATTTTTAATAATAAAAATTTACACATTAACAAACTACATTAAATTCTTTTCAAAGTTGTAAACTTCAAATTAGAATATAATTTAAAATTGACATCCTTATTAAGCAAATAAAATAAAAACATTTGACCAAGAAAAATCAAACTTGCAAATCACTTTGGGACAGAGACAGTACTAATTTTCAAAATTTGAAATATGTGGATGCTACAGTGCTGCTGCAATGAATTTGCATATTTACGTTTAGTGGTGATTCGATTATTCATGGATGGTCACTATTTGATCCAGTCGATGACTTGGCAGTCGATATGACAGTATCTGGTCCGACCAACGATCCAACGATCGCCTTCCGGTCCGGTCAATGATCTGGAGGTCCTTGTCCAGCCTGGTTGTAAAAATAATGTTAACATATTATTATATTTGAAAATACAAAACTAGAAATGAAAAAGAAAAATTGGAGAAAAATGAATCGAAAAATTATACTCCCTCCGTCCCTAAAAGAACTTCCAACTTTCCCTTTTTGGCAAAGAATTTGTGGTTCACAACATTTCTCTCTCCTCTGCACAACTCTCCACCACACAATTCTCACTTTCTTAATCTGCGTACCACTTTATTTTGGAAGAACATTTAGGAACGGAGGTAGTAACAGAAAATCGAACAACTAAAAACGGAAAAGAAAACTGAAAAATACCCCTATTAGTAAACGGGCCGGAGATGTTTTGTTTTACAAAACAAAAGGTAGATGGTTTTGCTAGTCCACATCTATTTCATATCTCCAGAAGAGGCCCAACAAAGATATTGAGTTCATTGATTCATTCTACCCGTAGTATATTTTTATATTGTCCCCAACAGGCTTAGGGCTTTTAGTTTCTCATCATCGGAAATTGGGAGTTAACAGTGATCCGACACAGATCAATTATATATTCGGAGTGGCAGGTAATTTTCTGCATAAGGTATCGATTTACGTATGATCTTCAGATTTTATATGTAAAATAGTTTTAAAAAGTTCTTATGTTTAATGCAGACGAAAAATTCATTTTTGGCTTTTTGTATTCAAATTAAGTGATTGGATTGGATTGGATTGAATTGAATTGGGTTGGATTGGATTGAGCAGAAGGGAGCAGAGATGGGTAGGGATAGGGATATGTCGAGGTCACCAGCGTATAGAAGAAGGTATTCCCGGTCTCCGTCACCGGTGGTGCACAGGTCTAGCCACCGAAGCCGTCGAGAGAGAATTCGATCTCCTTACTCGCGCAGCAGGTGATACCCGATTACTCACATCGCAGCCCTATACTGTTAATAAATATAGTATCTTTTAGCTACGCATATGCATTTTGAGCTGCGATCCTGGAGCAGATTGTGTTTATTAGGCTAATGAAGTTCACTTGTCTTCTTGCTGATCCAGTTACAGTTTGCTCAGGCCACTTAAACATGACAGTGTTGCTACCTAGGATATTTTCTTTTCTTATAAGGACTCTCTGCTTTGCTAAAAAAATCCGCACATCGTATTGAGGGACTTTAGTCCTTAGACCATACTGGCCACAGAGTATCTTAGATTTCCATATTCTTCTCTACAAAACACGTATTTGGGCTTTGGAGTGTTATAATAGGGTTTGTTTTACAAACTTTGTGGTTAGCCAAGCCTTTAGAATTTGGAACAGAAGTCATTATAAATGTAAACGGGCACATGGGTTTCTTCATGTTAGAATTTAAAAGAACAGTACACTTCATTTCATTGGGAAGCAATCAGATGATGAGTGCCGGTGGGTGTCCTTTGGTTGACATTGTCAGTCCCATATGATAAAAAGATGCTGCTCACTGTTAATTCTTGTCAATCAATAAGGTAATTGTATTTTGTTTTGATATTCGGTTTGCTGGTCCTGCTGGTTGAGATGAGACATGTTTGATGCGTGAAACTTGTAGCCTCTGGTCCTTGATGTTCTTTTTTTGCTCAAGTAGTATATGTTTCTATACAGAAAAAGAAGTCGTTCAAAATCCCCAAGACGCCACAAAAGTCGCTCTCCAGTTTCAAGGCGTCATAGAAGACAAAGAAGTAAGAGCAAATCCTTGTCACCTATTGGTAAACCTCCCAGATCAAGTACTGCTTTAAAAGACCGGAAGGATGATAGTGAAATGCTAAGAAAAGAGGAAGAGGAGAAGAAAAGGTATATGCGTAGTTTTATATCTTTCACTGGTACCTTTTTGTTTTTCTTTATACTTTTCTCTGAGTTATTGTGTCTTGTTCGTAAACTTGTGTAGGTGGATTTGATGTTTAAGTATTTCCTTGTTTGGATTGAGTTGTGTGTATTAGAAAGAGTAATGCACATGTTTTAATTAGTTGATTGTTTGTGCTAGTCAGCTATTGAGTGATGTAGTTCTGTGGTTGATATGGCCGTGTAGGATCTTATGCTATTCCTAATACTGGTTTCACAATCCACCGAGCTTAAAGCTTTTGATTATGGGGTTCTCAAATGATTACAATTTGCAGTGACTCTTGGCATTTTTGGTTGAGTAGGGGTGTTTAGAATTAATTTTACACTTTCAAGAAGTATTTTAGGCAGAATCAGTTTGATGAATGCCTTAATATAAATTCATAGGCACTTCTTGCTAAGTTTAGGAATGATTTTTGGAGAAGCTACTCAAGCTAGAGGGTAGTAGGGTACTACTTTCTAGAAACTAATTCTCATTCAAAAGTTTCCATTTCGTAGGTACCCCCAATCCCCCATCATTTTCTCCGAATTTTGGAATTAAGATTATGATTTTTCTTTTAAAAGTAAAGTTATTAGATTTGTGTATTATAGACTACAATTCATTTTGCTTCCTTTCATTTTACTGGATTCAAATTTGTAATTGTTGTTTCAGTTATTTGATCTTTTGTGTAATTTATACTCCGTATTTTATACAATGCCCCCCTGGGGGCCTAGAGCTGGGGCATCCAGCAAATTATTAACCTATTATGTAAAAAAAATTGCACTGAAGAATGGAATATGTGGTAGCACAAGAATGCAAGTTGACGTCAAATAAACAAAACAAATTGGTGCTCGCAAAAACTAAATAAATCAAACTCTTAGAAATACTAAATAGCAAGCTATCTGTCAAAATCCTGTTTTCAGCATCAGGCCAGGAAGTGCGCTCTCTCTCATTGCCCTATGCATCTATAGGAGGTCAGGCCTATAATTTGTAGTTGTTGATGCAAAGTCATATTGGTCTGTGTTACGATCCCACACCGGTCAATTATGGGATTGATTGGTGGCTTATAAGCAAGGTGTTCCCTCCTCCTAATCGGCTGGTCTTTTAGGAGTGAGTTCTACATCTGGGCTTATGGCACTGTTATGGGCCTAGTATGGGCTAGGTCCGTAACAGTCTGGCCCGGGTATTGAATATCCTTAACCTGTGCCCTCTACTAATCTACAATCTTTAGATTTAAATCCCACAGGCAAAGAAGTTCCATCTTGTTTATAGAATGTTATATTCATGAGTAAACTTGATGAAAAATTTGGTCATATTTTAACCTTAGGAATTTGCTTTTCATAAGCCTATCTTAACACAAGGCTTGAAGTGCTTCGGTGATTACCTTCAAAATGCGACAGGTTACTTTGCATTCTTCTCCACAGGATTAATTGAAGGAAGTTACTGCTATATTCAACTTGTTATGTTTGATGATCAATTTGGATGCTTCGTTTACGGTTTATCTACTGTTCACCAAGTTTGATACTCATCTGTTTCTACAGAATTCAGTTAAGAGGTATGCTATAAAGCATAAGCATATCTATTTAGTGCCTATTGTCAAGTGAAGGTTAGTTTGTCATTCATTTTAGACTTTAAGTTAATACATATGAAGGAAAATGTGATAATTGTTTTTTTTTGAAAACTCAAGTCAAAGCTTCTTATTTTGTCACTGCTATGTTGCCTCAAGAGCCATAATATAATTTTTGGCAATATGATGAAATGGGAATATCCAATTGTTTTCCGCTTCTGTCCATCCCTTTGCCTGATTTTCTGTTTTATTAATTAACAGGCGCCAACAGGAAGCAGAACTAAAACTAATAGAAGAAGAAACAGCAAAAAGGGTTGAAGAAGCAATCAAGGAAAAAGTTGAAGAGAAATTGAACTCTGCCTATATGAAGCTTGAAATTGATAAGCGACTTGTAGAAGGGCGGAAGAAGCTTGCCATTGAGGTTGCAGCTCAGCTTCAAAAGGAGAGAGAAGCTGCACTTGTCATGGCAAAACAAAAGGAGGCAAGTTCCTTTGTGGTTGGTTGGGATGTTAAAAAAAATTGCAATGGTGAATCCCAAAATGGCACAACTGGTGGACTCTCTCCCCTTGTGGCTGAGGGTATGTTTAGATGAAGGGTTTTGGAGGATAAGGCTTAAGAGCTCTTACTCTATATCTTGATGCCAAAATGCATTTGAAAAATGAACAAAATGTGATTGAAATCTTATACAATCAGATATTATGTCCATGTATCAATTTTCATAAAATCCCAAGTACTCCTATATATCAAGATATAGTCTAAGCCTCCCAAGTCTCCTTTGCTTCCAAACCCATCAAAACCCTTTATCAAACAGACCCTTATATGTACAGGACTCGATCCATCTCCTTGCAAAAAGAAAGTTCCTGATCTGATTTATGTAGGCCAAGTACTTTCATGGCATTCAAGAGCACGTGGATAAGTGTAGGCCCTGTTGGCCCAACGATCAGAAAAATTTCTGTCTATTCTTGATGAAAGTGGATAGTGTAGTTGGTCATAATTCAAATCCGAATTGGCAAATTCCTCGGGGATCTAGATACGGTTGAGTAATCAAGCCGTCCCTATGTTCCATAAATATTTTCACCGCTTCTTTTTGGTTGTCCTGAAAGTTCCCTTTTTGGAAATAATTGCGTGGTTTAGGTGTTTTTGCATTCAAAAAAGCTCAGAAACACAGTTTTACGGTTTATACAGCAGTTCAAATGCTAATGAAAAAAATGTTGTCAGATGGGTATATGTTAAAGTTAATGTCAGTTCGGTGGAGTTACTCAACCAGATGTCCAGATCGAGGTCTGTTCCTTTGATGAATGAGATGACTGACAGTTTAATTTATGTTTGTTTAGGAGCAGGCTAAGAAAGAGAAGGAAGAATTGGATAAGGTGCTTGAAGAGAATAGGATGAAGATGGAAGAAGCTCAGAGAAGGGAAGCTTTAGAGCAGCAGAGGATAGAGGAAGAACGTTATAGGGAATTGGAGGAGCTACAAAGGCAGAAAGAGGAGGCTATGCGAAGAAAGAAACAGGAAGAGGAGGAAGAACGTGCCAAGCAAATGAAATTGCTGGGCAAGAACAAATCTCGCCCTAAGCTGTCCTTCGCATTCGGATTGAAATAAGTTTCAGTGTGACTCCTGGGTTCATATTGGTTCCTTCGGGCAATACCTGTTTGTCCCTGTGTATTTCTGTATCTTTTTTCCCTTTTTTACTCGGTGGTGTTATAAGTTTAGATGCAAGAGCCAATGAATGCAATGTTAGTTTATAGATGCAATACCCCACGCCTCACAGCCGCATGTAATGATATCCTGATATGTGCTGGTGGCTTTAGTTGGAATAGTATTATTACCATGGCAGCTTATGAGATAAGTACGTATTCTTATTACATAGATGACTCCAAATTTTGCAAATTTGGCCTTTTAGATATATTTTTTGACCGAATGATGTTGTCCAATGTCCATCATCGAACACGTCAATTATGTGTTGACATACATTGTTTGTCATAATCTTCCACATGACAAGAGTTGGAGACTTGGAAGTAGTCATGGACCCGGGCCGGTTCCGGTTCCGGGCCTGGCCGGGCTTTTTTTTGGGAAGCCACCGGCCTGGGTAGCCACCGGGTCCGGTCCGGGTCCGGGCCGGGCCGGGCCTCCGGTTTGGTCTAGGGCTGGACTCGGGCCGGTTCGGGCCCGGTTCGGGCCTGGGCCCGGCCGGGCCTCGGGCCAGGAAATGGGAGGCCCGGGCCCGAACCGCCGGTGGCCGGTTCCGGTCCCGGTTCCGGGCCAAACCGGGCCGGGCCTGGCCGGGCCAAACCGGCCCACTTAATTTTTTTTTTTTCTTCTCCTATTTAATCCCCTACCCCTCCCCCTCAACCCCAAACCACCCCAAACCACCTCAAATGGCCCAAAATACCTATTCCAACCCAAAACTTTAAAAAAAATTCAAAAAAAAAAAAAAAAAATTAAAATCCGGCCCGGACCGGGCCCGAACCGGCCGGGCCGGTTCACCATTTGGAAGGCCCGGGCCCGGAACCGGGAACCACCGGGCCGGTTCGACCCGAACCGCCGGTGGACCGGGCCACCGGGCCGGGCCGGTTGCTACAGTGGCCGGGCCGGGCCGGTTCCGGGTCGGGCCGCCCGGCCCGAGTCCAGCCCTAGTTTGGTCATATTTTTTTTTTTTGCTTTCTTAACCCCCCACTCACCCCCCAAACCCCTCCTAACCATCAAGCCCAACCGGCTAACCCCAAAAAATGAAAAAAAAAATAAAAAAAAAATCAATTCGGCCCGGGCCCGGGCCCGACCCGGCCGGGCCAGTTCGCCAAATACAAGGCCCGAGCCCGGACCCGCCCCCCACCGGGCCTAGGCCCGACCCGGACCTGGACCCGAGAACCGGGCCGGTTCTGGGCCCGCACAGTGGCGGGCCAGGCCGGTCCCGGGCCGGGCGGCCTGAACCGGGTCTATGCCTACTTGGAAGTTCCAAGTTGGAACTGTCATGGTTTTGTCACCAATCTTGTTCTTCAGGATTGACGATCTTGTTGTCATGAAAGGAAATATAGCGGTGGACGAAAGGAAATGTAGTACTCCCAAGTCCCAACCAAAAAATAATTTCATACTTGATGTTTGTATATTTAGAGTTCTTTGGGTGATTGTGTTTTTCAATTTAATACGTTTTATGAGCGATTTTTTCACTGAAAACGTTACTATTGATTTTGTGCATTGGATTGTGTAGTAATAAGAAAAAGTAAGGTTAAAGTTATTTTTTTTATTTTTAAAGTTAGTGCAGAAATCATTTTAGCTATTTTGTGATATAATTTTTTCTTTATTTTTTAAATAAAATATATTTTAAATACTACCTCCGTTTTCTTTTAATTGCAACATTGAGCTTTTTGCACTATTCACATATTCTACTTTGATTTTTTTATTTATCAATGTACTATAGATTGAAATTTTGAAATTTTTTAATTTTTTACTAATAAGGTCAAACTTGTGCTTTGACAAGCGTGAAATATGGACTGTTGCAATTAAAAAAAAGGGATGAAGTATAATTTTTCACAAATCAGTAGAATGAACCACTTCAGTCAGAATTTCATAAATTTCAGTAGCATCATCTGATTCACCTGATTTTAGTATTACCAAACGAGCTCTTAATGATAAAGAGACATAAGCTTATACAAGTATAAGCAAACTTTCAAATGAGTTATATACGTTATAATTTCATTAATTTCACGTGTTATAATTTCATCAATGACAGATTGTTTTGAATAGGCGCAAAAAAGTTTTGAAATTATAAAATACGATTGTCATGTTTTTATTTCCTAAATAAAAGTAACTTCTGTCAAGTTTGGCATTACCAGACTTTAAACATGACATTTTTTCCAAACTTGGCAAAATTTACTCCTATTTAGGAAATAAAAACATGACAGTCCTATTTTAGAATTTCAAAAGTTTTTTGCTCCTATTTAGGGATTTTTCCAATTTTTGAACACTCACAAGAGGAATTATTATTATAGGATATATGAAATTAGGAATTATTCTTATGAATTTCTCCATAAATTATGAATACTTATTACTAATAATTTTAATAAAATAAGTATTTAACTAGTATTTTTTAAAACTAATGAGTAGTGACTAGTAACTAGTATAATTGTACACCTAATTAATACTACTACTGCTACTACCACTACTACTATTATTATTATTATTATTATTATTAGTATTTGAAGATTCTAGAGTTTTAGTTTTCCTTAATTGTTTACTTTATCTAGCATGAAGGGGTAGTATTATAATTATCAGCACTATTAGGGCTGAATCACTGCTACATGTTTTGGTATTTATATTTAGTTCCTTCGATTTGATTGGATAAGAAATGGATGATAAATATTAAAGACGAGTCTCTCTCTCTCTCTCTCTCTCTCTATCTCTCTCTCTCTCTCTCTCTCTCTCTCTCTCTCTCTCTCTCTCTCTCTCTCTCTCTCTCTCTCTCTCTCTCTCTCTCTCTCTCTCTCTCTCTCTCTTGTATCTACAAGAGATAAGCAGAACTCTTGATGTTATCAGATTAGCACTCGATGCTCTTGCAATAAGGGACCACCTCTTGCAACTCTGAATGATCAACTCTGAAATATGCTATAGCAGAACTCTAGAAGAGGGAGGGCTGATCAAGTCTCTTTTGAATCAGTGATTACTAATGAGGGATCAGCTCTTGCAACTCGTGCTCCATCTAGAATGAAATTTTTAATGACCTCTGGAATATTTCAGAGAAAAAAGGTCTACCCTGGTGTGATCATTGCAAACGACCTGATCACACCAAAGAAACCTGCTGGAGAATTCTTGGAAAACCATCTGAGTGGAAACCTAATCGTGTGTAAATTTAGCAACTAATAACTTCCAGGAGATTTTTAGAAAGGAACAGATACAAGCTCTTCAGAAGATGTTGCAAATCACACCCTATGAAGACAAAGGGATTGCAGTTGTTGCCCAACAAAGTCTCATGTGCATTTGTAACAAGTACATCCGGTGAAAATCCTTGGGTTGTTGATTGTGGTGCTAGTGATCACATGACCGGGGATAGGAATATACTTGATGAATTCCAACCAGTACCGAATGGAAGAACCATACGAGTTGCTACTGGAGAAGGCGCACAATTAGAAGGGGGGGGGGGGGCATTGGTACAGTTGTCATATCCTAGAATATAAAACTGAAATCTATGTTATACATTCCCAATCTCGATTTCAATTTGTTAGCTCTTATTTCACTAATGAGGGATCTAATTTGCATAACTATCTTAACCCCATCTGCATGCATGTTTTAGGCTTTGATTTCGGGGAAGATAATTGGGAGTGCTAAAGTGTGTGATGCTAGCACATGGAAGTTGAGCATTTAGGAAAACGTCTAGTTTCATCATTGTTTCATGTTTTGTGTAAAAATAATGTGATGTTGTGGCATCATATATAGGTTGGATCATTCATACATGTTAGACATTCTTATACTCCAATCCCGTACAAATCCTCTCATCCATTATTTTTATGAAAGACAAATATGAAGTTGGGTCAACTCTCTAGCGTTTTCATCAGATGATACAAAATCAATTTGCAACATAATTCAAGTTCTCAAATCTGATAATGCAAGGAATACTTTCACTTTGAGTTGGCCAACTACCTTACTCAATAGGGAATTGTCCATCTCACATCATGTGTAATGTGTTGACGCCCCGCAAAAAAAACGGTGTTGCAAAAACGGAAAACATACATCAACTAGAGGTAACACATTTGTTACTATTATCTGGTTTTGTTCGAAATCATTTTTGGGGAGAAGCTGTGTTAACTGCCACATACCTTATCAATAGGATGTCTTCCCGAGTCATTGACTTCAAAACTCCGCACCAATTTCTACGGTCTAGCTTCCCTCACATTCGATTTTTGTCCCTATTACAACTGAAAATATTTGGTTGCACCTCATTCATTCATAATCATCAACCAAATCGTAGCAAACTAGATCCTAGGTCATTCAAACGCGTCTTTCTGAGATATTCCCCGAACCAGTGTAGTTATACATGATATTCTCCTTCCACCATAAATAAGGTGGAAAAGCAAGTCACTACTGAAGCACATAACCATGAACTCTTCCCGGATTCACCAAGTAATACTCAACCTAAAGATTCCAGTTCTTATGTTTCCCTTGATGATGAGTCAGGTGATTTAAATATTCTAGTTGCATTACGAAAAGGGAAGAGAAGTTACATTATGCATCCAATGGAGGGGTAGTATTGTAATTATCATAACTATTAGGGTTGAGTCACTCCTACCGCCTGTCTTAGTATTTATATTTAGTTTCTTCTATTTGATCGGATAAGAAATGAATGATAAATAATACAGATGAGAGTCTCTCTCTATCTCTCTCGTATCCTCTTGTGTCTGTGTCTACAAGAGATAAGGAGAACTCATGAGCATTATTAATATTAAATAACATAATTAATTAAGAAAAAATGTTTTGAACTAGAATCACCAGAAGTACTATGCGGTTCCGGTTTTAATCGGAAATTGCGAACAGGTCTACTAAGCCCAGAGTATCTTAATAATTTATTTATCATATACTCCTTAGACCCTATTAGTCATAAGTGATGTGTTCCTCTGTTAGTCATGAGTTGTTGGGCCGGATAAATCATTAAATTATGGTTGAAAAATCAATATACTCACACTTATTACAAAAGAAAATTAGCGGGTCTTAATATTTTCATTCTTTTGGGGTTCCACCTGTATATGAGTTACGAGTTAACTTTACAAAATTTTAGGCAATATAATTTTTGAAGAGCAGGATTTAATTAATGTTGTATTACAGAATGGATTAAGTGTATGATCTAAATTTAGACACACACTGAAAGAAAAGTGAATTCTTAATCTAGAAGTTTTAGTTTAAAGCCATTAGACAATCATAATTCATCAAC